TGGGTAGTGGGTCACCTAGAGCTACAGTGTAACACCACTCAACTTACTCCACTTAGGAAGTTTGTTGTAAGTTACATTGTTCATTGTGTTGACAGTGCCACCCCAGGTACATGTTCTTTCTTCTGGAACTACTAGAATGTAGATCTTGATATTTTTTTGTTACATTGTTTTTATTCATTGGATAATTTCAATACGGAACATAGTATTCCCAAAGTCACGGTTTGTGGTGCAGCATATGGGATGAAAAAGGCATTCAGATTGCACAGAATTATTCTAACCTGTTCTTTAAGGCAAGAGTAAAGTCAGATATAATAGCCACTGCTTACGGGACCTAGTTGTTGAGTCTACCACAGTGAAGCCTCCTACTTTGTGATTTGATCAGATCCAATCCTGAATGATTCTCTTATGTTAGGGCAGGGAAAATGTCCCATAATTTGGGAGAAGATAGGAGTAAAGCTGTTTTTTTTCTACTCATTGGAAATGACAGTTGGAACAGCCAAGAATAGAGCAACTGCTAACCAGCAGCACTCATGAAATTCAAAGCTATACTTCTTCCTACCAATTTCAAGATTAAAATTTTTTAATTTCTTTTCCCTTTGCCTTTTATTTCTGTTGTGTATGCCTTTCTGTCTTCATACTACTTCTCAGCACAACCAATAAACACTAAAGTAGAAGTGCCTGTCCACACACAACGTGCGGCCGCATTAGTGCGGTTTGACTAGGCCTGCATTCTGGAACATGTCACCTTACTTCTCCATGCCCTTTCCTTATCCTGAAAGTGAAGGGATTGGACAACATTAGTGGTTTCCCTCCTAGGTTCCCTACATTATACTGCTCCGTGAAGTTAGTGGTGGAGCCACTTTCCAAACTCCAGACCACTTAGTGGAAATCACACCGTTACCTGCAACTGGCCACCTACTAACCATAGTGTATGTTTTTTCTTTTGTTTAGAATTCTATCAGCTAAGCTCATGCTGATCACATTGGCAGTTATAAATGGAAAGCTGTTTGTTTAGTAAATTTTTAGTAGAAAAATTTCCAAAACTTCAAATTTATCGTGGAAAATTAATAATGGGTCTTTGGGAACCACTGGCTTAAGTGATGTCTAGGGTTCCTGGTGCAGCTGGTGTGGCCTCCCGAACAGATCCTACCTCTTTTTGGGTGCTCTAATAAAAATACTCTGGAACAAATTTATAAAATTAAACATTTATTTTGAAAATAAAAGCTAAACATTACTATGAATATTTGAGAACCTTTTTATGCCATTATATAAAACCAAATAAAAAAATAAAATAACCAAATTAGGTATGTCACTTTTGAAGGCAAATGATCACATGTTCATCCTAACTAGTAATAGGAACGGTGCATATTAAAATGAGAGATTATTCACACCTATCAGGTAAAAAATTATAAACTCTGTTAATACCAAGAGTAGTTGAGGATGTGTGAATTAGTAAAACCACTTCACAGGGCAGTAGTCAGTACCTAGTGAGGTTGTAAACCTACAAATCTGTACACTACTTGTGGTCATGCACACTGTAGAAATCCATACACCCACAGACATGCAGTGTTCCAGAATGCTGGCTGCTGCACTGTTTGTTGATGAAAAATTGGAAGCACCTTGGATATCTGTCATTAGAGGAGTGGACAAATTAATTTGATAATTTGATATGTCAAGTATACAGTAGTTAAAATGAGCCCTAAAGTTTATTGGATTACATCTTGAAAAAAGAACATGGAATAAATACTATTTATATAAAATTTCAGTATGTACAAAGCAATGCTATACATTATCATATATACATGTTTCTTTGCATATGTATACATAAATATGTGTATAGCTATATATACATAATAGACATACATTTCTGTGTATGTCTATATGTAACATATATATTTTATGTGTATGTGCTTGTGTGTGTATATGTGGCTATGGATATTTGTGTGTGTGTATTTATGTTTGGAATGTGAAAGATAGTGTTCATGTATGTAATGGAGGAGGGAGAATGGATGGAAGGGCTTCAACCGGGTTTTTAATGTTTTACATATTTAAACATTCTCAGTCAAAAAGGAAAATGTTAGTGTTAAATCTGGGTGGTGTATAGATGGGCTGATTTCTTTTCTCAGTATTTCTGTTGTATATGTGAAACATTTCCTATCTATGGGAGAATAAATGATCTGGATGAACAGGGATCAGATAATTGGGGCCTGCAACACCACTATGTGCTGAAGTATACCTTAAATAGACATGAGAGTAGGGTAGTGCTTCGATTTTGGACTCTTCTTATTGATAACTACTTTTGGTAGTGTTGAACTAAACAAAGTACGTTTGATGACTGAAGAGCTTCTTTTCTTTGGTGGTTTTTTTAAATGATAGAATTCTTCATTTCTCCTTAGGTCAGCTGCAACTTGGAACCTCATCTGAGGGGCAATGTGTATGTTCAGTACCAATCGTAAGTATTCTAAACATAAAATGTCTTCATGTTTTGTCACAGTATAGTGTTGTGATTATGGTGATGTCTGGGGTTCTTTCCACTGAATAATACAGCTTTCATATGCATGATATTTTTAAAAATGTAAACATTAAGAGCTGATATAGAAATATAGAAAGGATTTGAAAATAATACACTTGGATTTCATTCTCTGTATAAGTACATAGTTTTGAATGTTTTGTAATATAGTTATTTCTTACATATATAATTTTAATAATTAACATACAAACTGAAAGGGATAACTAGAATAGAGAATAGTAAAGTATAAATTGAAAAAGCCAGGAATTGAAGCCCCAAGTAATCTCAGTGTGCAGTTAGTGTATCATTTCTGCTCATTTTGCTGTTTGCCTGGGCCGCCGCCATGGCTAATGGGTTAAATTAACCATTGTAATAAGAACAGCAATCTTAGCTGAGAAACAATGGGCTCTGATAATGGAAAACACTTCTGCATTTTTAATGGTCCTATCTTTTGGTTTAAGAAGCTTTGACTCAAGGCAATTTCCATGCATCAGAACCTCTCAGAGGGTTAGTAAAAGGGATTCCTGAATAAATTGTGAGCTTCAGGAGCTGGAATGTTCTAATGAGTACTCTCTTAGTAGTACAAAAGCAGTAAGGTTGGTGGTCCTACAATCAACTAATAAAAGGGTTCATTAACAACAGGATTAATCTACATATTAGAGCATTACTGTAAAGTGTGTCCTTTAATTTGTGATTTAAAGGGAAGAAGAATGCCAAGCAGCCCTTGCTCTGTTTAACGGACGATGGTATGCAGGACGACAGCTTCAATGCGAATTCTGCCCAGTGACCCGGTGGAAAATGGCAATTTGTGGTAAAATACAACATGATGATTTTTCCACAGCTGTTCTGTTATATAAAAGGACATTCTTAGTGAAAAAAATATATATATATTTTAATGGGCTGAAGCATAGCTTTTACCTCACGCAGTAGATAAGCCAAGATCATTGTACAAAGAACATTACATTTTAGATCTGTAACAGACCTTGTGCATCTCCTTGTGCATGACATAATTGAGGTCACAATGCACTGGTGACAGAGTTGGGCTAGAATTGGATCTTCTCGTCCTCAGTCCTGGGTTCTGTGTGTCTGACACTTTAGGAAGCCTGAGAAGTTGTATCCATGGGAAGCCACCTTTCCTTATTGAGATTTTAGAGGTGTTTGCTATTCATGGCTCCCCTCACTTGAGCTATGTTGTTTCCCCCCATCTTTATCCCTAACAAATCTTTGGTCATCTTTGCCACCTAAAACATTACCTATAACATTCCCTGCCTTACTTGAAATACATGCTTTTGATCAGTACTTTGGTTCTAGCTGTGGGATGTGGTGAGGGCGCATTCAGTCAGACTGACTCATCAACAGTGGCCCCGAATCAGGAAATGAGTCAGTCCTCTGAGTAGCCACCAATTTTGATGGCGTCATTCTTTTTTGATTTCTATCGGATGGGCTTAGCCGAACTGTATTGCTAAGGTACCCAGAAGCAATGGGATGGAGCTATTTGTGCCTTAGGGGAGCACATCCCTGACCCTTTGCTTTGCTTTACACTTGCTTGTTTAACATCTCTTATTTAAAAATCTATAATTTATAAGGTCTGAATCTTTGGCAACCTGGTCTTAATGGATGCTGTCACTTAAAAACCATTTATTGAAGAGGGGGGAAAAAGATTTTGGAATCCCTTGCTTTGGAAAACCAGAACAACCATTACACCTTAAGTTTAAAGGCTTGGGGGCTGAAAGAAATGGAACTGTTTTCTTGTAAAGGTGGTTACTGCTGTCAGTTCCTGGCACTCCAGTATGGTGTCAGTGTGGTGCCTCTGAGGGTGTCTTTGACTCCCCTAAAGCAGAAGACTATTTCACTTGTATGTGTGTGTGTGTGGGGGGGACATGTTTCAAAATAACAGCTTGGATTTTTTCCCTATTGACTAATGATGTTGATCATTTTTCCGTGTCCTTGTCTATCTTCTTTGGACAGATGTCTATTCAGATCCTTTGCCTATTTTTAATTAGATTGTGTCTCTTTACTATTGAATTCTGAGAGTTCATGATTTATTCTATGGACAAGTCTCTTATCAGATCTATGATTTGCAAATATTTTATCCCATTATGTGGGTTGTCTTTTCACTTCGCTGGTATCCTTTGCAGCACAAAAGTTTTTAATTTTGATGAAATCCCATTTATCTATTATTTTCTTTTTTTACTTGTACTTTTGCTGTCATATCTAACAATCCATTGCTTAGCCCCACATCATAAAGATTTTACTTGTATGTTTGCTTCATAGTTTCATGTCTTACATTTAGGACTCTGATCCATTTTGACTTTCTTTTTGTATATAATGTGTGGTATGGAAGTATTTAACTTTTAACTCTTACATATTTGGGAAATTTACTGCTTTTAAAAAAAGTTTGAAAACCCCCAAAAGATTTCTGAGGTGTTCAAATAGATATCACCTTTGACAAGAATCTTCCATGTTAAAAACACTTGGTAAATTTAAAAACATTAGGCCAGTGTTTACTGTAATCATTTTAAAGTGTTAACTGGGGATCTACATTGTCAGTGAGTGGGATGGTGAAACCTTAGGAAAAATTGTAGTCACCACTTGTGTCTGTTGCACTCCACATGGTAATCCAGTAGAGAAACGGGATATCCTGGCTAGTTAAGACTTCTGCTTTGTTACATTTCAGTGCCATTTGTTAGAGCACTCAAATATATTTGAAATTCTGGGGAACAAAATTGTGACATCAATTTATGTAAGCCCCTCCCCACATTTTTAAAACTTATCTTTATTGTTGAAAGTATTACAGATGTCCCCCTTTTCCCACCATTGTAAACCCCTTTTAAATAATACAAAAAGGAAAATAGATCTGTCACATCCAACATGAGAAATGTACTTTCTAAGGGTAAAGTGCCACCAATAAATGGAATTTCCTCACTGTGCCACTGCAGGTTTATATGAAATACAGCAATGCCCAAGAGGAAAACACTGCAACTTTCTTCATGTGTTCAGAAATCCCAACAATGAATTTTGGGAAGCTAATAGGGACATCTACCTGTCTCCAGATCGGTCTGGCTCTTCCTTTGGTAAGAACTCGGAGAGGAGAGAGAGGATGGGCCACCATGAGGAGTACTACGGCAGGCCCAGGAGGAGGAGAAGCCCCAGTCTGGCCCGTTTCTATAAGAGGAATGGAGAAGCGGAGAGGAAAAGGAGAAGTAGCCACAGGGATAAGAAATCTCACAGACACACAGCAAGAAGTCGTGACAGGCACCGCTCACGAAGCAGAGAAAGAAAAAGGGACCGAAGCCGGGGCCGGGGCAGCCGGGGCAGCCAGAGCCGGAGCCACCGGAGCAGGAGCCGGAGCAGGAGCAGGAGCCGGAGCCGGAGCAGGAGCAGGAGCAGGAGCCGGAGCCGGAGCCGGAGCCCAAGCCCCTCTAGGTCTCGGAGTCGAGGTGGCAGGAAGTCAGGTAGTAGAGACAGAACTATTCATAGTCCCAAATCCAAATAAACTGACTTTGTTTTTAAACAATTGTATATGTTATTTATTATGGTTGCTCCATACTTGGATAGAGGGCTCTGAGCTTAAATGAATTAGCAAGTCTGACAGAACCTTATGTCATCTGGAACTCTATTTTAAAATACTCTTATTCTCTGATAATTTATGCGCTTCTTTTAGAAAACCTAAATGTATAAATAACATGAATATTACTTGTAATCCTAACCCTGAAAGCTAACCAGTTAATACTGGAACATTACTTTAGTCTTTTTTTCTCTTCTTACGGGTATGTGCACATTTTTTACACAAAGATCATAGAAGGCTGCAGTTGAATATGCTTTTTCTCACACCAAATATTGTCATATTTTCTCAAGTCCTATTCTTAATGTTATTTTTACTCACTGCATAGTGTGGATCTCTTAATTTATTCAACCATATCCTTCTTGGATTTTAAGTTCTTTTAACTCTTACACTATTAAAGCATCCTGTGCAATAAACAAACAATCCTGTGGTGGATTTCCTTACTGATCATTTCCTTAGGATAAATTACATCAAGAGATATAAATACTGAAGCATTTCCAAATTGCCCTCCAGAAAAACTACATAAATTATCAATAATAAATTTTGCTATTCCCACACCCCACATTACTTTTCACCAATTTGGTAAATTTTATGTGTTTAATTGTTTGTTTCTGTACACACTGGCTAAGTGAAACACTTTTTCTGTATTTAATAGCCATTAAATTTGGTCATTTGCCCTTTATTAATAATCTATTGGATTTTTCTACGTGCAAAAGCTGAACAGCTTGTTTTACTTTAAAATTGACTTCTTCAGTTTTAAAATACTAAAGGGTAGTCAATTTTTTTTTGCTTCCCTCCTACCCCATATTTGCATTCCCTCCTCAGCTAGAGGTTTTCCATTAGGGTGTTCATCTTTTTTAATAGTGTATTGAAGAGCTCTCTATATAAAGGTAAATTTTTGTCATTTTCAGGAAAACGGGTCCCTGCTACTGAATATGCCTAGTATTAAGCAATTCTGGTTAAAAAAAAAAAAAAAGAGAGAGTGGTTAG